CTGGACTCGGTGAGGGGCAAAAGGAAGTCGGGCCCTATCGACTTGGTCAGCAATTGTCAGTAACAACATTTCTCACTTAAAATTCGTTTCCTTCTTGCTTTGGCTATTTAGTTTACGAAAAACACTCTTAAATGTCAAGTTTAATTCATTTTCTGTGCTTATTTTCATAGAATTAACGATTTTTTATTAGTTTAAGTCCGAAAGTATCTTCAATATTCCTTTGTATAATTGTGGCGATTGTGTCACTTGCTGATACAAGGAAGGACTTTCGGGTTAAGGAGATAAATTAAAAAAAATTAAGGAAATAAATGCTCTGATTAGCTCTGAATGAAGAGAAGTTACGCATTGTGTACTTGTACAATTACAGCACACTTGTTCCAGATTATTGATTGGCAGAACTTTCTCACTTTTTCGAATTAATAAAAATTGAGACTGAATTCCTAATGTAAGTACTCAAGATATTGCCGATCGTTACTTTCACAGACTTAGCTTCCTCCAGAGGTGAAGTTTTCAGGTATAATGATGGAGTTTTTATCTAATAATGCTGAAAAACTAAAGCACATACTTGGTTCAGTGGGATACCCTTGAATTGAGCTCTTTGATACAATTAATCAGTTGATGAGTGATTATTTCTTAGCTGCTTTGAAATACGTTGTGGTTCATTGTTAGAGTTATATGTATAACAAAGATAAGTTTACAATAAAAAAAAATTACGGCGTTCATGTTCATCACGCAGCTTTCACTAACCGGGCTTCACAAATTGGGTTAGGTAATATTTAAATTCTTATCATCAGGGATGATCAGAAGGGAGTTTTATGGGTCAAGTTGAGCTATCAAAATTTTTGAGTGGGCATGTTTTGACCCGTTTTTTAATTGTTGACGGGGTCATATTTAAACGGGTTTATGAACTTTCGGAATGAAAAATTTCAGAATAAGGGATAAGGGGAAAACATGTAACAGAAAAGTGAGTAATAAAATATCTTGAGAGAGAGGGTAGTTTTTTTTTGCGCCATCGACCTTGGGGGGGGGCACCCCTGCTTATAATGGTCCAAGTTATTAAAGGTTATTTCCACAAAATCACTCCTCCCACAGCAGTGTCATATATTTTAGATTAGGTGCCGGGTGAGTCTTTTAAATCCCCGCTCTCACTCTCTGGCCCGGAAAAAACCCGTATGGCATCAAGGGCGAGGAAGGAGAGGACCAAAAACAAAAATATATATTTTAGATTTGTCGAACTTAAAAATAATTTTAATAAATTATATTTAATTTGGAAATATTATCTAGTTTCCATGATAAATAATTTAGTTTATCCGAAAATTATTATTTATAATTTCTTATTACATCCATAAGGTCTATATCTGTTTATATAACTTATACATTAATACATATTCCGTGTTTCCAATAAGCAGCGGCGTATACCAGAGACGTGTCACAGTGAGACGAGTAAGGGAAAACCGAATTCGCATTAGAATCTTCAGTTGCTTAATCATTAAAAAAATATTGTTCTATGTCACCCCAATAATCCTGCCACCTAGGAAACGAATGTGCCTCATTAGAACGGAATAAAAAAAATCCCACATTGGTTCAATAACATCAAGACATCTAAAAATTCACTCCCGTCGTATTCTAGGATGAATTTCTATACCCTTTTATTTGCCTCTCGCTGTTATTCTGAGTTAAAGGACCTTATAATTTCCTACGCCTCCCATCATCACGTATTTAAAGACTCATTTTTTTAATGCTATATTTGAAAAATATAAAATAAAAGTCTTTATTATTCCTAAAAATATACTTTACTCATCCTCGAGGAACGCGAACCTAAAAGTTCTAGACGGAATCTTGTTTACAGTGATACCCTTGCGGTTAGGGATGATAAGAACCATTTTTGACAGGTTCTACAAACCACCTACAGACGTGCCGAGGAGGGCCCATTAAATAGAAGCCTTAGGACCCTAACAATGGTCGTTTTGTTGTGGCGGCGGTGACGTAACCTGCCTTCCAGGAACACCTTCCACTCGGACCTCCGCTCTCCTCCACAATATTTATCTCAACGCTCATTGGAGATTGTATCCAAGACAAACCTTCATGGTAGTAGGATCTACCTGCGTTTGAATACATCCATTACATCGGCTTAAAATTTGGTAATATATATCGTCCCGCTTATAACAAGGAGCACAAATAATTTGTTCTTCGTATAGGTCTATAATTTTTTTTTGTGATCCTATTTTGCATATATAATTCATTTCAAAACGTTCACTACTACAACCTATGACAGTGGCGGATCTAGAATATTTCTGAGGGAGGGGGCCCACTTATGAACCAATACATATTTAAGAGATTGTTAATCCCTTTCATCTTAAAAATTTAAAACATCAACTGCTTAGTTTACCTTAAGCTAAGGCTAGTCCAAAAGAGTCCTATGGTATAGAATGATAATTGAGAGGTAAGTGTTTATTTTGTGGAAGAATGTAGGTTTTAGGACATTTAATTATACTGATTAAACTGTACAGACAGCTTGGTGACTGACAATATAGTTATTATTGGGTCGGCCTTCCATCCAAGTACCTACCGTGATTGAGGTGGTCAGCTTTTATTACCTGTTGTTGCAAGCGCCTTGACCCTCTCGGCTCATAATATATGCAAAAAGCATAAATAAAAATCAATTATTTAATAAATCAATTTTAAATTGAATTAATAATAATAATGGATGTATAGTTACTTTTTAAAAGTAGAATTTTTTCACACCTCCCTGAAAAGGAGCTAATACACTGAGTTCCTTAGACTGACGCCCATTCACTATCCTCCTGCTTGAATATAGAGATAGTGAAAAATTGGTCAATATCTGTCGATTATGTTCTTTGAGTATCTACAAACTGTTTGGAATTTATAAATATTAGCAGGAGGGGTACCTCTCGACCTTCTCCTGCGGGAAGATATGATGAGGCACATGTTTAAGAAAAACGGCTCAGCAGGTCTACCGGAACATCTTAAGGTGAGTATTGACGAGAATCCTTGCAAATGGAAAAACATTATACGGGACGACACATTGGAGGAATGGAACCGGCGGTGGGTGATAACCCCCAAAGGATCTACCTTGAGGAAGTACTTCCCCACCGTCCGGTCACGTTTAGAAGCAAGGTGGATCGTCCCAGACTATTGGATCTCGCAATTTCTCACAGGCCATGGGGGCTTTCGAGCAAAGCTTCATTGCCATGGGATGGACATCAATCCCCTATGCCCTAGCTGCGGCGTTCTGGAGACTGCTGAGCACATCATAGTGGACTGCACCGCCTTTGAAGAACTAAGGGCCAAGTTACTGAGGGAAACCGGTCTCTACATTCTCACAGAGAACGATTTTCCCAGTTAGTCACTGCGGAAAACTACCCGTACTACAAAGATTTTGTGTACGGGTGGAAAGTCGCGGTGGGGCCAGCCCATTTTAATTTAAGAAGAGGAGGAAGAGGTACTATACCATTGGCGTGAAACGGATGAGGAAAGCAACCATGAATAAATAGGAAAAAAATGAAGAAAGAGCAGAAGAACGAGATTCATTAGCAGCAGTGAGATGTTAAGCTGACCTGCCTAACATCTTACTATTGCAGACACCCGTATTGCCTACTAGGCACGGCAGGGTTGATAAATAAATAAATTTTTGGAATTTATATTAGTAATTATTTTTTAAAAATAAAGTAATAAATAAAAAAAAAAACCTTTTTGCATTATTGAGAACAGAAACCAAATCATGACTCTTCCTTTTTTTTTTTTTTTTTTTTTTTTTTTTTTTTTTTTTTTTTTTTTTTTTATCACTCCTTCCTTATGGCTTAAATTTAATAATAGTTTTTAAATTATGACTTGAAACTTTTGACAGTTTTAAAATTTATGAAAAAAAGGTTTTAAAATAAAAGTTATAAGGGACTTTTTTTAAAAGAAAGTTCTAGATGTATTGTAAAAGTTTAACTTTCAATAATTTAAGCTCTTTAAAAATATTTCAGATTAAATGAGAAATAATCCTGACGTGTGCTTAGATTAGTTTCTTTATTTATTGAATAATATAGCATTCTATCACTTGGACATTAGTTATAGGGTGGTAGGTAATCCCATTCACACTTAGATTAGAAACATATTCATAGGTATTATTCTTATGTTTCTGTTGTTTGAGTAACAAAGAGTGTACTGTATAATCACCATTTTTTATATTTAGTATTCAGTGAAATGGATTCCTCTAACATTTGCATTTTTAAAAATTATTTACCTAAATTAACATTTCAAAAATGACCAAATGGTTCATGAAGAACTGACCCAAAATTTTATCTTTATCAAACTCAAATTGTTTTATATTAAGATCAATTGATTCATTCTGGCAACATGCATACATTAGTCAATGAGGTTATAACATTTCAAATTCTTGAAGGAAATTAGTCGACTATTCTATATACCATAAGTGATAAATAGTCATTTTAAGATTTTTATTGTTACCAAGTCTAAATCAGCATAATTATAAGGCCACTAATCTGATTTTTATACTATAAAAATCTTAAAATGACTGTGTCCTGACTATTTATCACCTATTGTTCAAATTCTCTATCAAAGATGAGCAATTGCACTAATAGTATGAAATAATCAGACTATGAAATGCTCTATAAAAATTAAATAATCCAATCAAATTCAAACCAAATCCATTAGATTTATTAGCAATATTGTTGTTTTTACAATCACATTTACTTTTCTAAAGGTAATTAAGTATTATAATGTTGTGGTTTAGATATTAGAGAAATATATTAAAATATAAATATACCAGATTAACAAATGAATAATTAGGAATAAAAATCTTGTTGATTGACTGATACTCCAAAAGGATCAACCTAAAAAGTGGAGAGAAGTTTAGAATATATCTTAAAAATAGAAAATGAAAAACATTGAAATCTAATTATTATGTTTATTTATTTATGTTTCATATTCCTTAATTTATACTCAATCAAGGGTCATTATTTCTGTTACAGATTAGTGAAGAAGTTGCCAGAAAAAAGGCTGATTATCAAAAACATTTAGATTTTTATAGGCTAATGAGAACTAGATTTGAGGAATATTATATAAAATGTAAGTATTCGCATTGTTTACATGTAGTGAAATATGTTAATTTTGATTCAAGAAATAATTTTTACAAAGTAGTTTAGGGGCAATCTATTTATAAGAGAAAACAAATTTTAAGATTTAGAGTCAAGGTCACTGATTTGATTTATAATATAACTGTAATGATGATCCGTTTTCTAAAATACTTATTATCATAACTTTTTCATATCACTTAATAGTAAATTAATTTTTGGATCTTCATTTCCAGCTGGGCGTGGAGGAAGGAAATTAGATGATGTACGCGATAAATACCAACGAGCCTGCAGAAAACTGCACCTTGTACATAATGAGTATGTTCTCCTTTTGTCCGAAGCAGAGCAAGTACAAAGAGACGTGAAGACCTGTCTGTTACCCGCCCTCTACCACCAGCACCAGGCTACCCTGTGTTCTTTTGTAATTAACTGGTATAAGAATCTTGAATTTATTTTTTTATCAACATAGTTAGTTCTCACAACCAAATTTGAAATTAAAATACAAACGGTGTTAATATATAAAGAAAATTAGAAAAAAAGCACCAGCTTTTAAATTAGACGTTATTTTAAAAAAGCTGAGTAATTTAAAATCATTATCAGGTTAGGCATTATTTATGCAATACCTTTTACAAGTTAAGCAATTAAAAAATTCTTGTGATGTATTATCATCGCTTCCATCTTCTGAAATATAAGACCTATTCTCTGAATTTATGAAAAGTAAAACGATAATTTATAATATAAAAAAAAAAAAAAATAGCAATGTTATAGTGGAGAAATGGTTGATATAGATTCTTATTAGAGAAGTTGGTTGGGAATTTGGATCATTAGAAGTACATAATATTAAGTTTGTTTTAATATACTTCTAATGACCCCAATATCTCCGAAAATAATTGTTTTTTAATAATTTTCTATTTTTAATTTTTTTATTCATATTTAAATTTGTTGATGCTGAATTAAATATATTACATTGTTGATATAAATTTGAATTATTATAATATTAGCTGTTTTTATTTATTTAGGAAATAAAGCTAAAATATATTTTTTTAAAAGTTTGGTCCTTGCCAAACTTGCCTAGCCAATCGTGGGCATATCAACGTTTTTGATGAATAGATAATAATAAATCTGTATTTTGTAATAAAAATGTCCACATCCTATTTTTTGAAATTTATGTCTATGGCTGATTTTATCATTATAGTTTTCTTACCTAACTATATAATAATATTTTAATGGTTGGATTTCTAAACTTAATAATTTTATTGTTACCACTTTTTCCTGAACTTCATTTTTTTTTATCATTATATCTGACATAAAAATTTTATAAATGGTTTCTATAATTCTCTGATCCACAAGTATATGAATTAATAGGAAGGAAGTAATAGATAAATAGTTTACCTTATCCAAGAAAAGTGGTGTATTGTCTTTAAAAAAAAATTGCTTAAAGCTGTGAATATTTAATAGTGTTTATCTTTTAAAAAATTTTAAACCAAACTTCTAAACATTTTTATATTTATATTTTTAGTTTTTTATTTTCACCTGCCATTGACTCTATAAATTTATATTTAAGAAATTAGAAACAAATCTAGTTTTAAAAGGCTTGATGCATAAGTGTCAGCCAGAGTATTTTAGTATATTTACATATTTACCATGTAAATCAATATATTTTGTTTTCTTTTTTATAATATGATGCTATAAAATCATTTCAATAACTATCATAGGATTATGGACAGTTGTATTGTATTATTGCCTCAGTAGGCGTTTACATGATTATAAATAAAATGCCTGCAAAATATAGCTGACTAATATTTATTTACCTTTTGAACATTTTGATGAAGTCAGTTTCAACTCAGCATAACATAAGTAATATAAATATGAATTGAAAAAAAAAAAGTATCACACGTGGTTCTTGAGAGAAATAGAAAACAAACAATTCTTACTTTTGAATAAAATACTTCACAATTGATATACATATATATTTACCCATAATAGTTATTTTATAATAGTTTACAATCTTGATATGAGTTTCATCTTTTTAATTAATTTATTAAATATTTCAGGCGAAACATTTTGAAAGAATTATCTGTTCAATGGAACTACGCCTCAAAAGAATTTATAGACATATTTAGCAGAACTGAAACCCATGTAGATACAATTCTCCCTGGAAATGAGTATGTGGACTTTCTACAGAAACAAATGTAAGAATTTACTAGATCTTCATCATTTAGTTTTAATGTTGGATGTATTTTAAGTTCCTTTGAATACGGAAAGTAAAAAATATATTCATTTACTTAAATTTTTAGAATACCTTAACATTTTTAAAATGTTTGGTAATAATTGCTTATTGTATTTTTATTTATTTTTACAATGAAGACCTGGAGTTTTCCAATTTCCAGAAGAATTTTTTAAAGGAAAAATTAAACTCAAAGACTGGCAAAACTTAATTTAATTTAGACAAAAGATCACAAGGTTTCTACCCCTAAGTATGTCCCTAATATTTATCTTCGCATAAAAACTTTTTAATTTTATTTTGTACAAATATTTTTATTTTAAGTTAAATCAGACACCTAATTAGTATTTTGTTTAATTGGCTGATATTATTTTTAATTTTGTTATTTATTTTAAAATTACATTTATATTTTTATTATAATAGTTATCACTTATATTATTATTAGTTATCACTAGTTCAATGTTAATCACTATATTTTATCAAGATAAGGCACAATAAATTATATATTTGTTCAATATATGAATACAATTTATTGTAAAGGAATTTTGTTAGTTTATATGAGAAATTCAAATTAATATTATTTTAAATAAATTTCAGTGATTAGTGAAACATTTCTATGTAATATTTTATAAACTAAATTATGATCGATCATTTTTTTTCAGAGATGGACATAGAGGAACCCCTGTAGAAGTTTCAGAATTCTCATTTGACAATAGTCTTGTAGAAGATACGAGTGGAAAATTACTGGCCAATACTCTGGCTGTAGACAATTTAACCGTTGAATGGGTTAGAGGAAAACTTGCCGAGGTTGAACCAAGGCTTAGGGAAGCACAAGAAAGACTGTCAAATAAAAATTCTAGGCTGCAAGATCTCAGGTAAAAACAGTTATTAATAATATGTTGGATTTTCTAGGAAAAAAAAAATTATTGTTTCATTAAAACTAATGAAATATTTAAAACAAGGTAAAATCAATTCTAAAAGAGACCAAAACTCATTTTTACTATAGTATTAAAAAAAATTCTCTTTGTTTTAAAAAAAAAACTTGTTTATATTAGTTTAAATTTTTGATAACTTAAAAACTATAGATCTTTGGGAATATTTCAGGTGGTCATTTGAAAAGTAATTTTTTTTTTTCCTTGAGGATGTTTTGAATTTCAAAGGCTTTAAGATTTTATATTTATTCATAAAGGAAAGTATTTCAAGCCACAATTTGTGCAGAGAATAAATAGAATATTTAATGGATAATGCTTAATACATACCACGAGAGCTGTTTTGGCACCAGACTCTACAGAAAAATTCACCTTCACTTACATAGGAATCATTAGAATGATTTTTTTTTAAGAGCTATACTTTATTGCTTTATTTAAAATGGTTCCAAAACATTTTATATTTATCCTCATCTTCATAAATGGCCAAGATAAGAGTGTTTGAAATATTTTATGAGTCACCTAGAAACAAAATGACAGACAGTAATGTTGAGTTCCTTGAATCATTCTTGGATGTTTTTTTATTTTTTTATTTTACCTATCTTGAAACGCTAAACCATAAATTTTGTGGAGAGATAATATATTTTTCTTGGTTGATTTTAAAAATTCATTATTAAAAATGAATTAACAAAGAGGAAGAAGAGTTTATCTGTATTTATAACTAATTTACTCTAACTAGAGTGGGAAGGTCAAGATTCATTTTATGGATCTGCTACAGATTAAATTTCAAACTGCCGGGGCTAGATTCGAACCAATGCTGCTAGACTCAAATTTTCGAAGGGCACCATAACACTTTCGACCATCACGATCTTTCACTGTTAAGGAGTTTGCTTTCTTAAAGATGTTACTGCTGTGGAAATCAGTCAATGATAATTAGACAGAAAAAGAGTATAGCTCATGCAGCCCTCATTCACCTATAACAAATAACCTTCTCTTTAACATCCACAGGAACTTTGACTTCTGGATATTTATTATTCATTCATATTTAATTGTTTTTATTTTATATAATTAATAAGTATTTTAATATGGTTAATTTAAGACTTTAAGCACAATATGTTATTTTACAGTGAAGTAGCCATGGCAGAATTGAGGTGTGAAGAGAAGAAGCTTGGTCGGCAATTAGAAGTTATAAAGAAAGCTTTAACAGACCTAGGCTGTGAGGAGGTACCTCCTGGCTGTGATATCCCTATTGAATCTTCCCTTGATACGAACCATGAAAACCAGGCATGTTTCCCATCCAAATCTGTTCTTGATGTTTATTTATGTACTTATTTGATCTATGTCTAGAAGTCCATGTATTAACACTTCTAAACTATAAAATATTCTTTTCCAGAAATTAAAGATATTGATATAACTAATTGGTTGTACTGCATGAAATTTTAGTTTTCATAGTAGTAACAATATATGATTGGATACCATTACGATTAACTGTATTGTAATTATTTCTTCCATTACACCAGCCGTGGATTGATCCTGAGGTTAGGGACCGTCCTGGTCCACATTTAGCCTCCATAAAGTGTGTATTCTTAATTACTTGCTTAATTATTTAATTAATAACTTAATTAAGCATACCCACTTAAATAAGAGGTTGAGTGTGATCTCTGTCAAATCACATCCTTCCACAAACATTGACCAAAAAGTACTGAACCCAAGACCCTCCATTGGTTAGATATGGTATAGTAAATGGTAATTGTTTAATAAATTAGTTATTACAACCAAACTTAAAATTTGAAATGTAAGCATAAACAAATTGTAATACAAAGTTCAGAGTCAGAATTATGACTTTTGTCAGGGACAAGCTTAATATTGCTGCACTTTTTTTGACCTCCAGCTCAATAACAGTAAACATTTTTATATCATTATTTAAAGTAATATATTTCGAAAGTAATATCAATTTTATATTAAGTGTTTTATCAAAAGTAAAAAAGAAATATGTTTTACTGCAAAAAACAAAATTCCTCCATAATGCCATCCTCAATAATCTACCACCTGGGGCAGTTGTCTCCTTTGTCCCTCCTTAGATCCATCCCAACAAAATAAAAATTATCCATTTCAAGAGTGGCAACCCTAAGGACCAGCTTACATGGTCAAGTTTCTTGAAAAAAACTTTCTTTGAATAAAAAACTTAATCCTGTTAACAAATTTTGATAAGTCACAAATTGTTCCATGTTGGTAATTTTTGATCGAAGTAAGCAGCATTCTTCATGTTCAGGAAACATTCTTCAAAATACATTCAGTGGCCGGATATTGTTCTATTATTTAATGGTAGCCTTTGAGTACATTTCACAATTATCAATTTCAGATTGGTCTTAGAATGTTTGGTATTAATTGAGAATATAACAAACCACAATATTTCCAATGTGAACTAGTAAAATGAGGTTACTTTCCTGGCACACTTAGCAGACAAATAAGTGAAATAATCATCTTTGGGAAACCAAATCATAATTTTGATTCTATAATTTAAAAAAAAAAAAATTAAAATATGTTGTTACTAAGCTATGTTACTACTAAGCTCCATTTTGATGTAAAAGAAATATATACATAAAACTTATTAATGATTTTGTACATGATGAGTGGAATTTTGTTGTTACCACCTAAAATTAACAGCACTATCATTATAAACAAGATAAATAATATAACTTTTAAGGATGAAACAAACTTATCAGGAATTTCAGTCAAGATATTTTTATTGGGTTAGCCTACGTTTCGACCCAAATATTTGGGTCATCCTCAGGGTCATTGTTTAGGTTGAAACTTTGATTAACCCAATAAAAATATATTGACTGCAACTCCTGACAATCTTGTTTCATACTTATAATTGATCAGTTGACTACTTACTCATTTCAATAAAACTTATAACATACTACATAGATTTTGAAGTAAAATGGCAAAGTACTTTACAGATTTCTCTCCTAACAGAAAATATCTCAACTACAATTTCAACATCCTGACTTTGATCAAGAAATTTAACTGTGTAAACGAGCTTTAACATCCAAGGATTAAGAATTTAAGGTGTTAATTTCCCATCAGCTAATCAATGTCTCATTACATCTTATCAAGACCTTACACTATTTTCTAAAATGTTAAATGTTTAAAATTGGTGTTGTAATTAAAAAAACTCTGTAATGTCAAATTGTGTTTTTGATATGTAATTTGTATTCCAGTCATTGTCATTACAATTTTAATTTTAGAATTTTATTTACTAATGTTTTTTTAATTATTTAGAGTTTTAAAACAACACAATTTAGTATTTTTTCTCTTTTATTTTTTCTTCTAAAATAGAGTGTTTTGAGTGTTTTAAGATAAATCTTATCTTCAGATCAATATTTATATTTTCATGTTGGTAGTGAAAAGCCGTATTTTCGTATTTTTAGATAGGTTTTTGTTCAGCTACACGCGGTATAGAAGAACGAAGGTTTATGTTCTTCCATATTGCGTGTAGCTGAACAAAAACCCTGTTGGCCTTGTTTATATCTCCCATACAAACGTGAAATCAGGCCTGCTTTTTATGGAAGAAAAACATGGAAAGTAACCGAAAACATCACTCACCCGCAAAAGACCTTTATTAATCGATGCCTGTGTAAAATAATAAGAATTTGGTGGCCAGAGTGCATTTCTAATGAAGAGACTTTGGAAAGCGACCAACCAGCAATCAGTCCATTTAGAGATAGAAAAGCGAAAATGGAAATGTACTGGACACTAGGATTGGCATCTCTTCAAGTCAAAAAATAAATACTCACACCATAAAATATAAAATCAAAGAAGTGCCTATATTGTTTCGTACCGTAGTGTTTTTCTGAGAGTAAAGGCAAATTACTACAATAATGTTAATTTATTTATAATATTTATTTGGATTGATTTTATAATTATAGTAATATAAAATTGGTATCATATCTATGCACGCTTATCATTTCTTTTCTCGTGGTTTCAAAATGTCTAAACAAGGTGTATATCACCAGAAATAAAACTCAAAAGAATGAAGTTAATATAGGTTTAAAGTATTCACAAACAAATATAATGTGTAAAAAAGAAAAATTCGAAATTATTTTGGGTTGGCTATTAAGTCCTTTTGGTTTTTCAGTGTGAAATAAAACTCAATGTATTATAGACATAAAATTTATTTTAATCTACAATATACTGTCATCACCACATATGCTGATGACACATGTATCCTATCAGTCAATAACGACCCATCTATTGCATCCCAAACCCTTCAATCCCACATCACAAACCTGGAAGAATGGTGTCAGAAATGGAGAATTAAAATAAATTCCAATAAATCCCATCAAATTACCTTCACCCTTCGTCGTAAACCAATGACTTCCTGTCCTTCAGTATCCTTTAACAACACCTCACTTATTCCTGTTGAACAAATCCGTTACCTAGGACTCCATCTGGACAAACGTCTAACTTGGAATCCTCATACCAGACTGAAACGACAAGAAACCGCTCGACGTTTCCGACTACTTCAACACTTGCTAGACAAACGCTCTAACCTTCCAATCAATTATAAAAGACTGATTTACATGACTATAATAAGGCCTATTTGGACTTACGGGGTTGAGCTATGGGGCTCCACCAAGCCTTCAAATTCCTCTCGCATACAGTCCTTGCAATCCAAAATCCTTCGTAAAATCCTCAATGCTCCTTACTTTGTTACAAATAAAATTATCCATAATGACCTTAATGTACCTTATGTATCAGATTTGGCCCAATCCAGATATCTGTCCTTCCATAATAAACTTCATAACCATCCCTACCCTCTTGTCTCTAACCTTGCTTCCTATTCGATTCCTGATAACCCTCCGAGGCGTCTGAAAAGAAGATGGCCACGTGATCTTCTAATATAGACATATTATTAGAGTGCTACCAATGGGTAGTTTCTCAACATGTGTTCCATGTCTTTATACCAATGTGCAAATTTACTAGATGTATTTTTTTGTATACAGTTGTAAATATCATTTAAAATAAATAAATAAAAAAAAAATCTACAATATACTGACCATTATTTAATATGACTTTTTCCCATCTTTCTACTAACTGCATAATTCCATGTTGATAGAATGTCTGCAGTTTATTGTTAGAAAACTGATTCAAGTGGTTTTTGATGTCCTCTTCCTTTTGGAATCCTTTCTTTCCATACATGGAGTTCTGCAGAGACTAGAATAAGTGGTAGTCACTTGGAGCTAGATCTGGTGAATAGGGAGGGTAAGGCAAAAGGCTCAATCCAAAATTCAGAGCTCAATAATTTATTGCGAGTGACCAATGAAGTGTGGGGTCTAGTTTTGTCTTGGTGAAACACAACACTCTTCCAATCATTCATAACTCTTCAGGATAATCTCCAAATTCAATGTTACTATATCTGTTGGAAAACTGAATTATTGCTTTTCAGAGCCGTATGAATGGTTTTTTTTATAATGCCTGCATAAGAAATAAACAAAAGCTCCTTATAGGTTTTTATTTTTTATCTCCATTTGTAATTTGTTTACGAAAGTCCTGTTGCTGTAATTTTGTGTAGATTTTGTGGTCCTAAATTCCTGCTAAATTTCTTGTAGATAGCTAAAGTCGTATTGAAGTTATAACATTTTTTTGTGATTTTCGAAAAAAAAAAATCATGTGAGGGACTCAAATATTAAACCTGGAAACATAGCTGAGCTTGTGCAAATGGTTTTCTATGCTTGTGTGCGCCACATTTAGAGCCATAGCAATCTCTCGCACTGATTGGGTGGGATTTTGATCAATAATGGCCTTAACATTGCTTGTTTCAATTTCATGTGGGCGACCAGACCGTTGAGCATCATTGATGTCAGCACTGCAAATTTTTCTATGAGCTTCTGCAGTACGCTTACCTTTTTTAAAATAATACAACAAAATATGCCGATAATGAATGATATTTTCTTCCATATTCTCAGTGCAATAGCAAACACAATACTAAGCTAGTTTCAACAAGAGTCGTTGACATATTACAAACAGGATACACAATCCACCTTAGGGTTTAATTCATCAGATAAGAAGTATGTCATAGTGTTATAAAAATAAACATAAAAACCAAAAGGACGTATTTTCGGACGTTCATTATAAGTTTTATTCAGAACCTATAGACTAAGTAGGATCTTTTGAGTTGATGCAAATCAAAGCATTTACAATTGTAGTTATTTTGTAATATCCTGGTCCATAAGTTAAACAAAGTTTCGTAAATGTTCTTGATACTTTAAATATATTTGTTTGTTTTTATTATTACTTTAAATTATTAATATGCTATCACTTTTCCAATTGTCAGAATTATTAAAAAGAATTCAAGTTTAATAAGGAATAAATTATAATGACATTTATAGATAGATGATCCTTAAATTTTCTGTATATTTTTCACAAATAATTTTTTTTTCAGATTGATAACGTCATACCTGTAAGAAAGCCATCTCTTCCTTCTCCACCTCTTCAACCAACAACGAGCCTTGTAGATATTTTACGGAAACCATTTCGACGCAAATCTGTGCCCAGCTCACCTTTAGGATCCAGACATAATGTGTGTAAAAGTTGACATACATATTTTTAAGAAAGCATACTTACTATGTATAGTTTGCATTACTATGTATAGTATTTTGACCTTCTTATGATCCTTAATTGACCCAGATTTTAGTGGGGAAAGTTTCTCATTTTGAAATAATTTTTTGGGGAGGTCTGAAACTTAAATTAATATGTAATTAAGTGAACTGTAATGGGTTAATTAAATTTCATAGATGTTCCATTAGGTATTTTTGCTCCTGTCACATCTTTATTGACTTATTTTTTCATGTTTTTAGTAAATTTAAATGAATTACTAATGTTCACAGATAGGATCTACAAGAAGCCTAATGGACGAAGACTGGTTTCATGGTGTACTTCCCAGAGAAGAAGTTGTGAGGCTTCTGACAAAGGAAGGAGATTTTTTAGTTCGGGAAACAACAAGAAATGATGAGAACCAAACTGTCCTTTCTGTGTGTTGGGGAGGACATAAACATTTCATTGTTCAGACCACTAATGAAGTAAAAATCATATTTTTTTAAGATAAGATTTTTTCAATCGAAATTTTATTAAGTCCATTTTATTTTCATTTGATAGGGACAATTTAGATTTGAAGGCCCAGCCTTTGCAACCATCCAAGAATTAATTATGTATCAATATCAAAGTGGTCTTCCAGTTACCAGTAGAAGTGGAGCCATTCTTCGGCAACCAATACCAAGAGAAAGGTGGGAACTGAACAATGATGATGTCATCCTCCTTGATAAAATAGGAAGGGTAATTAAAAACAGCTGATCCATATTGTTAACTGTTTATTTTTGCATTTATTTGTTTCTGTAAAAATTATTATTCTTAATGAGAATTACTCCTAAGTTAATCAGAACTTCTAGAGCCGGTGCAGAACATAGGGTGTACGCATGGGTAGAGCTAACCGTATTATTTCAGTGTGTGATCTCACTTGTAGAATAATGAGCAGTTGGTAAGTTAGGACAGGTGTTAGCAAACTATGGCCACTGAGCCACATGTGGCTTTTCGAGGATATTAGTAAGAATCTTTGATTTAATTTTTTTTAATACATCTGTACTGGCAACAGTAATGATGACAATATCTAAAGACTAGGCTAAACCACCAGAAATATTCATGAAAGTGAATGAATTGAGTCTTATGTGATCATTTCCAGTTTGATTGGTCTTTCATATGTCTTATTTTAAAAGATCAAATAATAAGAAGTTCAGATAATTACAAATAAAGCAGGGCTCAATTGGCACATTATTATAAGTAATATATATTTTTTTTAAAAACATCTCACAGCATTAACTCATTTTATTCTGAATTAAGTTAACATAGTGCATAATGTTTACAGCCATTATTAACTGGTATTTAATATGAACCATTGCCAGATCTACAGGGGGAGAGGGCTTTCAGGCTGAATATCTCTCCCCCCTTAATATCTCTTGAAAATTACTCATGGAAGTTCAAAATCTAGGTTAACAATAATAGGTTGTTCTCTATGGGTTTGTTCCAATAAGCAATGCAGATCCATATTCAAATAAGCAATTAATAATTATTATTTTACAATTACTAAAGAAATATAAATAATATAATTTATAAATTTTTAACAATACCTATATTCAAAAACGTAATTTTTTTAAAAGTTGATTAGATTTAAAAAAATAATTTTATAACTTTCACCTGTTAATATTATTAATTATCAATTTATTGTCTGTAATTACTTAGATATAATCCATGGCAACGAATAAATAATCAATAAGTAAATGCTTTTGATTTATCTTTTATTTTAAGTTAAAAAAACTAAAATTCTAAGTTAAGAAACTGCTGGACCATGGTTAAATTTGACCAACTACCTTGTGATGTGTGGGTATATGTGTTGAAATATGGAGTGGTTGAAGAAGCTTTGAAAGTACATGATATCTCTGAACATTTTCAGAAAGCTTGTTGTGAAACTATTAAGAATCGCATGATAAAAATGCTTTATGATGTAGCTGAAGGGATCCCTAAAATGCAATTCAAATTAAAACAATCACCAATGGCTGATGATGGTTTGAGATATTCCATTATGCATACTATTATTTTTCTAAGATATCTGTTGACTGAGATCAATGTACTTTTCAGTATGGTCTGGAGATATTATAATAATGAGAAAGCTTGGATTTTACTCTGCCCTTATCTGTTGCCAGTAATTGAAGAATTCAGCAATTTGTTGAGTTCATGTTTGAAACTTGAATTACGACGAAGAAAACTGAGACTTTCGACACAAAATGTGAGAAGGCTATTAGACAAATATTATGATTTTATCAATATATTTGAGAACAATTTAGAAGAAACATTGACCAATCTTACTGGATGCTCAGAGATTGAAGTGAAAGTACTTGATACACTTTTAACTTGTCCATCAATTAATTTCCAATTATGTCTATCTCGTGAAGTTGGTAACCAATGCTTATATAATGTTTCATCTTTTTTTGGATTTTATAACTTGAACCCATCATTCCAAGTTCCTGACCTGTACAAGAAAAATTTGTCAATCTTAAACAAGAAGTTGACAATTATAAAATTCTTGAGGGAATGTGTCCAGCATGAAAATATTTCATTTTTACAGTCTATTACTAATGATATTGCTGACCTTGAGCTCTGCCTTGAAGTAGCCGATAATATTAATTATCAACTCATCCAGAATCTTTGCGATAGATACGAAAATATCCAAGATACTCCATATTCTCCCATTTTTCGTAATTGCAACATTGTTCAACATGAAAATGGTAGAATTTTCAATGAACACTATCACAAATGTGTTACATACAACCAAGATATGACAGGTATGGTCATTTTGATAAACATCCCAAATCAGCCCTCTGAAAATCTGCCATTTATTTTAAATTCATTCAGAGGTAAAAGGAAACCATTGCTTGACGAAAGGATATTACAACTTGAAGGGAAGGAATGGTGCTTCCTTAATTGTCATTCTAACCTTAATAAACCCGTCAGGCATGGAATTCAACTGTGTATGAATTATTGGCAAGGATTTAGCCCATCTGAGACCATTATTGATGTTATCTATGATCAAAATAATGATTGTTATATTTCTTCTAATAGTACCAAATACAATTGGGATGTGGCATATGACAGTGATGAAGAACATTATGTCTAAACAATGGTTTCACAGTTAACCAAAAAAATTGTTTGCATATATATTCTTAAAAATTTAAAGTTATTTTTGTTTTCAAGTGAATATTAGTTATATATTATTATAAATAATGGGGAGTGAGTATCTCAACTAGTAAGGCACTGTACTACTACATTCTAGGGCAACTGTGATAGATAACTATTTATTCTGTTATTGTATAGAGTTGGGAGACCCTCATTGGGCACATCCAGCCTCTATAATGTGGGTACTCCTAAAAAAAAAATGTCCTTACCTAGTACTGAAACACCTTGACTTTTCATGGATAGTATTGGTATGGTTACTATTATTATGTTTGAGGCAAGCAAATCAAATAATCTGATCTTGTTTTTGCTATCTAACTTGAAGGCATTGATAAAAGCATGGGCAACCTTCTCTGAGAGGAAATTATTTGTTTTGAATTTGCTATCTGAACTTTGACATTGCAATTAATTATCTTCACAACAAATAACATACAAGAATCCTTTTAAGTATAATGGCTTTTCTAAAATGCATTTTGAGTTTTATGAAACTTCTCAAACTTCAAGATCTCCAAAAGTTCTTTTGTAGTATTCTTTGGTTCTTATTTAATCTATTGAAACAGTTAGTTAGCTAGTTGTTACTACAACTCTATAAGTATGATCTTAGTTACCACAAGTCAAGATCATACTTATAGAGTTGTAGACATAAAGGATTGTGGCCTTGCTATTGAAAAGCATTAGGAGTGTTAATATACTTTAGTCTCATAAATTATGAACAATGGACAGTGAAATAACTTTGGACTGACCCTACAGTTTCTTCAAATTAGGTCCCTCACCCATCATTAATCTTTTGGTAACTATTAATAAATTAATTGGTTACTATTAATAAACCATTGAACTAAAATCACTAAACCATACATACCTTTCAAAGATTTGACTGTTTTTCTTTACATTTTGTACATTTTTTTTTTGTTACTTATAAATCATAGCAAGCCGATAATTATGAAATTTTATATATTTCATGTATAGCTGTATAAATTTTAAGTCATACTGTTTTTAAATAACAAGAATGTAGGCATAAATTTAATAAGTAGCACATCAGAGAAAACAGAGAGTAGAGTTAAAAAGGTTTTTTTATTTTTATACAAACATTTTACTACATTGAAATGTTCAAATCAAGGTCTGAATTTCTTCTTTATTCAAATTTATTTATGGCGGTGTGGCCTATGAACACGCCTTATTTTAGTTTTCTTTACGCTCATCTTCCCAAAAACAGACTACATACTTGAATACTACATTAATCTCCTAATGAAGATCATAGGTGCCTACATACACTATTCAACATTTTGTTGATAAAATAAGAATTCACAAACTACTTTATGGATCTGAAAATGGGCTAATTTTATTTAGGGAATACCAAAGTGTTATTTTCAAATAAAATTACACGAAATGAAATTGTGTAATCTGAAATGTATAAATAAAAACTGGTGCGGTGGGCACATCACACAACTCAACAACCTTAGAATATATAGGTATTTTCATATATAAGAAAGTCAAGGTAAAATCGACAGTATTACTTTATTTAATAATAATAATAATAATACTTTATTTATTCTGGGACAAGTCCCTTTAGAATAATACATAAGGACAGTAATGTGGGCTAAGGAGCCTCAGAGATACATAAGAAGAAATGTTGAGTAATAAAATAGTCATCTTTTTTTTTTTTTTTTTTTTTTTATTGATGATATTTACAACTGTATTACAAGTAAAAATACATTCAGTAAATGTGAACAAAAGAATATAACAACATGAAATCACTTGTTGAGAAACTACCCACTGGTAGCACTCTAGTCATATTAAAAATTATATGTTACTTTCTAACTTAAATAAGTTAATAACAATTTTTTTAAAAATAGAGTAAAAATAATGAAGAACAATCTAATAATTTATATACATATTTTCAGTGGTATCTATTTACAATTTTATGGGGACTGGATGGATAAGAAATGATTGAACAGGTATTAGATGATTGAAAGGGTATTAGATTGACGGATGTGGGAAAGGATGAAGTTCGTTCCATAAGGATGAGGATCGGATAATGAATGATCTGTCGAAAGCAGCGGTTTGGTGGGCCCTTATGTATAAATCAGAAGACCTAGAACGAGTATTGCGGGAGCGAACAGAGGATTTGAATTGGAGGAGCTCGGATGCGTATGAAGGTCGGTGGGATTGGATGACTTGAAAGAGAAAGGATGCCAGGAAATACTTACGATGGTAGGAAGGGTAAACCCACTTCAACTCTACATAAAAACGGGAAACAGAGGCGTCCCTTGGGATCCCAAAGATGAATCGTACAAAGCAATTTATCAAGCATTTTAGTTTCGCCTCGAGATCCCCAGATTTAAAACAATTAATTACCATGTTTTTTTCACCCATCGAATCTGTTAAATTTACACGTTTGTATCACTTTCCATTTCCTTTTGCCACTGTTTATAGTGTAAAACAATACTAATAATTGTAGGAAAAATTAACTTTTTGGAAAAAATTCTGATTTTTATTGGAAACATTTATCACAAAACTCGTCGAAAAAATAAAAAAATAACTTATGTTAGTAAATATTGTGTATTATTAGATTTATCTTAGTAGATCCTCAACATTTTGCATGAAAACCTTTTTAAAAAAGTATAATAAGTGATTTATAAAAGTTAAACTAACAATGTGAAAGCCCTATATCGAGGGGTATTGGGTATCTGAAAAGAGAGAGAATCTGCAAAAGTCTGGCGCTCTCGGCAATTTTCGTATAGCTTCCAACCCTTATTTCTCCTTTAGTTACAACTAGATTTTTATAATTCATTGTGTTTATAATGTGAAATGTTTTTTTATTTCAAATAAAAAGAATATAAGTTAGTTTAGAGAAAGGAACCATGAAAATTTATCTCTTAAACCTTGTCAAAGAACATCAATGAGGATAAGAAAAATAATCACAGCAATTTTAAACAAAATTGAAAAAAAATGTGTAAAATCATTGTTATAAAGTGGCACTTCCAGTTAGCCGATTTTGACGAAAAAGTTGCTTTAACATCCCAAGGATATAAAAACTTTAAGTACGCAATTTCAATTGAGTTAGACTGTTAACATACTTACACACACAGGACTTGGTTATTTGGAATCAGGGGACCTCAAAACATGTATTTCTGTTGAACACACAGATTTGAAAATTTTCATGATCACAATACTTTCTCTTACTATATAATAGAGTGTATAAAAAAATGACCATTTTATCAAATTCAAGATTTCAAAGGACTGTAAATATTTTAATCCTATTTAATACTTACCAATATTTAATAATTTTTGTTTAATCGCATTAGAAGAAAAAAGCTTCTTCAAAAAAAGCCTGTTTAGTTATTTGTTTCAAAGAAGAAACACGACATTGTCCTACGAAATTCTCATAATGTTAAGGCATTACTGCAAAAAAAATTTCACAGCCGTTGAAGCAACTCATGAAATTATTAAATATGAAGGGGAATGTGTTATTGACCAGCTCACTGCGCGTCGTTGGTTTGAAAAATTTAGCAGTGGAGATACGATGTTGGAAAGAAAGAAGGGCTCCAGGCGACCATTAATGGATATTGATGAGGTTCTGCAGGAAGCTATTGAGTCTAATCTGTCCACAAGTACTCGCGAACTTGCCTGGAAGGTGATGTATGGAATGATATTGTTAGTCAACATCTACTCTTCATGAGGAAGGTGAAAAATAGCAGTAGACTGGTCTCTCATGAACTTACTCCTCAGCAATCAGCTCGGCGGTGAAAATTTATTGAAAAACTTTTGCTGGTAAAATTCCTGCCTCATCCACCATATAGTCCACACCTCGCACCATCGGATAACTACTTATTAAGATCCATGATCCATTTTCTTGAAGGGAAAAAATTTGATAATTTTGCGGAAGTTGAAATTGCGGTCCAAAAGTTCTTTGACAGCCATCCCAAAGAATGGTATCGAGAATGGTGTCATTAGACATCTGCTAGTCAATTGGATAGAGCAATTTGCTAATGACGGTAGATAACAATGGACTACAGTTTGAGTATTAATTGTATTTTATATCAATGAAATAATAATAAAAATATTTGGTTGAAAGACGCTCATTTTTTTTAATACATCCTATTATTATATATATAGGTAAGTAAACGTAAAACTTTTGTAAATTAAAAATACAAGTGTAATAATTTTCAGCTGTAGTGTTTGGGTGTTACTATTTTTTTTTAATTAAAAAAAACATTTTATTCAGCAGTTTATCAATTAAGAATCATGATTGAATGATTATTAATATGTTCATGCATTCTATCCATAGCATTCTCTTCGATCAGCCCTGATGAAGGCCTGAACTTCGGGTTGAAACGTCGGCAAATGTTAAAATAAATATTATTATTTATTTTTGCCATTTTTATTTGGACTGATCACCCCAACTATCCTTCTCTTGATTATTAATATGTGTTCTCTTTAAATACCATGAATTGATAAATAAAAGGATTTGTTTAACAATGTTTATTTTTATAAATAAATAAAAACCTTATAGCTTTAATATGTTTACTAAACATTTACTATTAATAAACAATATTTCCTATCCCAGTTTTAAGATAAGATCGGACCAATTTATTTTGGTTTATTGTGAATTGATGGTTGCACTTTTCTTACTTTAGGGAAACTTTGGAGATGTTTACAAAGGTCGTTTACGTGTGGCAGACCAAGAAGTGGCTGTAAAAACATGTAGAGTTACAGTTGCTGAAGAGCATAAGAGAAAATTTTTACAAGAAGGTCGTATATTAAAGCAGTATGACCACCCAAATGTAGTAAAACTCATTGGAATCTGTGTTCAAAAGCAGCCAATTATGATTGTGATGGAGTTAGTTGTTGGTAATTTATTTTTATTATATATTAATAAAAAATTTATTAAATTTGGTTTCATTTAATTTAGATATAAAATAAAATTGTACAGACATATTTTTAATTATTTAAAATTAAATAACAAGTAAAATAATCTGTAAAAATAAAAGACAATTTGACTAAGTTTTACCATATAATTATACTGTATACTTATGTCTCTCCTGTAAAATAAGTAAAAAGTTATTTTATTAAAGTTGCTCCTTTGCTTGGTTTCTGCTCAGGTGGATCTCTTCTTACATATTTAAGGAATAATGCATCTACTTTAAGTACAAAACAATTAATTACAATGTGCAGAGATGCAGCAGCTGGCATGAGGTATCTTGAAAGCAAAAACTGCATCCACAGGGACCTAGCTGCTCGAAATTGTCTTGTTGGTAAGTAACTCTTTTGGATTTATATTTCATTTTACTAATATATTTAATGTAATACATAATTAACATTTCTCAAAATTGTAATATTATTAGGTTGATGTATATACTATACTTTAAGTATAGCGTCTATGAATATATGTTACAACATTCAAATTTATATTAAAAAGATGGGCATCAGATATATTAACAAAAATTCTCAATAAACAGAACTTTATTATGAAATATCAAATAGGTGAAAAGATCAGAGGACGGATATATGAGTTCATAAATTAAAAAAAAAATCATAATTATACAATTTTTTACTTTGTAAGAACAATTTTTAAGAAGTACCATTCAACGAGAAGAGAATTTTTTTTCTTACCCGAGAATATTTTTTTGTACCTAACAATAAGAAATAATGGCAGAGGGCGTTGGGATGAGGAGTCCCAGGGTGCCTATTGTGGGTTTGATTCCCATCCAAGTAAATATAAATTTCTCGATGGCCACAAGAAATGATTCTTGACATTCTCACTCTGGTCAGTACTGCTACGTTTCTGAACACTGCTGTTCAAAGGTAGGAAAGTGATTCCAGAGACCGCCTTTATCTATATTTCCTATATTTGTATTTCTATCAGTTTCAGAAGGGAACCGACCTAGTTAAAAATTATATCAATGATTTATTTAGATGCTAGATATCACAGACCCCACTAGATTGAAATTTAACTTCCATTGGATATCTTTTCAAAAGGTGTCATGTTTCCAATTTACTACATGCAACTTTGTCTAAATGGTGGCATGAAAGGAATACATACTAAAGAATTAAGATGTCTTCAAGAAGTAATCCATTTGTAATTTTAAACAACAAAAAATATTTATGTACAATCATTAGAGGAGAATAGTAGTATGAGAATTTATTTTAGTTATTGATTGAAAAGCTTTTAAGTTACTATTTGCCAAAAAACTTTACACAGGTATATCTGAATGGATTTTCGGTCATCTTGAGGTCTGTTCTTGGTTTCCTCTACCCCTGGATCATTCCTACACCCTCCCAAGGAAGTCTCTAGGTCAGCTATGCTCGAGTCCTTGCCAGTGCCTACCCACTACTCATTAGGTTATGCCCTCTCCTCCTGGCTGTCTCTTACTCCTGTAGGAACTCCTAGGCTTGGCTCTTCCTTATTTTTTCTATTTACCAATAGATTTTAACATTCTCTTTCTATTTATGCCTACAATTTGTAATAGGGGGGGGCGAGGGGACTCTAACTATCCTTTGTGTGACTTCTCTGTCTGGTCTCTTGATGAAAGATGTAAACCTTTTATCGGTTATTGCCCCCAAGTCACAGACCAGAAAACCAAACACAATTAGTCTCACCTCCACCTATTGTTGCAGGTATAACTCTTACTTGTAAATCGTCCTCTCGCAGCTCTGTCCATTAATGTTTACTTATCAAAGCTTCTCCGGCTTTGACAATGATCTTTTTCACACATAATTGTCGTAACTGATCCACTTTTCAGCATTCGTTTTAAAAATGGCTCAATTTCATTTCGTTTCAGTTGCAATTCACATATAAAAATTCAATCCTTTAGATTTTTCACTGTTAATTCATGTGGAACCCAAGTATAGAGCTTCTTTTGTTGGTATCCAGCCTTATATAAATGATTCAAAACTGTTTTCTGATTGATGTTTAGATCTGATGTCACGAGATGAAATATGTCGGTCTACCTCAATTTAATGAAGAATTTCATTGACTTTCTTAACGATTGGCCGGCCAGGGCGAGGTTCATAATTAACATCAAAATTTTCAGAACGAAAACAAGGAAACTAATTCTGACACTGACATTTGCTTTAGCACTCATCATCATAAACATCATTCAATTTTCAATGAGCTTGTGCTGCATTTTTCCTTTTTCGTAAGTAAAATAGCAAAATATTACGAAAATGACCTTCTGGAACCTCCATTTTCAAAGCGCAATAACCGTTAACTGAGTTAATGAATGATGCTATTTTTATATGTAGAATATTCTATGGATTTTGACCTTTCAAATGCATTATAAAATGGCTGCATTGAATAAGCATTACAATAAATAAGATACTTTAAAGTCATCTAATAGGACAAAAAAAAAAATTACTTTGGCCTCAATTCTATATATTCTACTGATATTTAGAAATTTACACAAAATTATTTTTGTAAAGTGTTGGAACGTAGATACAAGTATTTTTGTGCTAAATTAAATAATTAAAAGGATATTTTTTTCAAATCTTTGTTAATATTTAGGAGACAGTAACGTAGTGAAAATATCTGACTTCGGTATGTCCAGGGAAGAGGAAGAATACATCGTTTCAGACGGTATGAAACAAATCCCAATTAAATGGACAGCTCCAGAAGCTTTAAACTTTGGTAATTTATCAATTAGCTAAATACAATACAGTAAAATTGGTTTATCATTTCTAATTAAGAAATTACAAATAATGCTATACTAGATTTTGTTTCGACCAGTCTCACATTCGTAATAATTTATGATTTATATTACAGGAAAGTACACTTCTTTATGCGATGTATGGAGCTATGGAGTCCTTTGTTGGGAGATATTTTCCAAAGGCGGAACACCTTATCCTGGTCTTAGCAACACTAAAGCGAGAGAAAAAATAGATACTGGTAAGGAAAACCCAAAGGTTTGATGAAATAAAGGATCATAATCAATTAAACAGGTTATTTTTTTTTTAAGTGTAAAACTAACCAGTTACAACTTTTACAAGCCCCATGTTTTTAAAGTAGAGTAAGTGCATACTTTTTTTTTTTAATCAGCTAAAAAATTACTGATTTACCATTGTTAGTTTCAATAGAATTTTTTGGCTTAAAACAAATGATTAAAAACTAAATATAATGAAAAAAATAACATTTTCTGCCTCCAGGTTACAGAATGCCAGCTCCAGAAGGAACCCCTGAGGAAATGTACCGACTGATGCTAAGGTGTTGGGAATATGAACCAGATAACAGACCACATTTTGACCAAATACATGCTATCGTAGACAATTTAAATTCGACATACAGATAGCAAAAACTCACAATTTTATGTTTCCCCTTAGGGTGATTCGTATACTTCCAAAGCACAAAGGTGCTGTGATTAATTTTGATCTAGTTTTTTTAAACATGTATCTTTCAAACTAATTTATCCTTTCCTATAAGCGAATTATCGACCGTTTAATAATAAAACTGTAAAAATGTTTATTTATATTAAGTTCAGTATTGTAAAAAAAATAATTGTAGATATGTGAGAAAAAAAATTCTCACCATCGAATTTTTATAATGTTATTAATTAAAAAGAATGTTGTATATATTTGACTGGAATAGATTATGATAAAAAAAAGTTGGTTTTACATTCATTTAAATGTTGTTTATTCATTTTCATTTATGTGGACTACTTATCTAACTAGAAACAAACAAATATTTGAATTTTAAAAAATTTAGAAGAAATAATTTTTTAATCTTTTTTTTTTTAAATGAAATTGAAGCGTTATATACAATTTAATTTTATACAATCATTAAAATATATTTATTCTCAAAAATATTGGAGTATGCAGGTATTAATACAAACTGTTATCAATATTGTAAACAACATTAAATGTAAAATTATAAAAGAACCATCTTAACAACAAGAGTAAATAGTGCCATTGTACAGTTTTATCTTTTAATAGTTTCTCTAATTTAATTGTAGATTTATGTAACTATTTATGAAGATAATATGAATTATTCATGATGAACATCACATAAAATTTATTTAAAGCTCTTTGGCCATTCTTTTGAGCGAAGCTAAAGGTGTCTACTTTTGAGAAAAAAAATATATAAACGTAGTTTTTGTAAATCATTTATATTAATTATATAGTAAGATTAATAAGACTGATCATAATTTTTAATCACTTAGGTGTTTAAATGCCAACTAAAATATTTGAATATAAGCTGGCTTAAAATACCATTGTCTAATTTCATGAAGTGTAAAGAAATTTCTGGTGGATCTTCATCCCAATAATGATTAGTTTTGTTAGCGATTACAATTTTTAATCTACCATGAAATTTGTTAATCGAGTATTTATTTATTTCTGTAATATCATTAAAATTGTAAATAACACGGAATAAAAAAATAAATAAGTATCTTTGTTGTATTTCCTGGTTTCATCTTCCACTGAAAAATAATGTAATAGCGTTATAATGGATTGCTTGAAGTTCTTTTTATTTTCACTTACCTATATATGTAATATATAGTTGCGATCATGAAAATTTTCAAATTTGAGTTTTCAACGGAAATACACGTTTTGAAATCCTTTAAGTCCAAATAACCTAGTTCCGCAAACTGGTTTGTGTGAATAGCCTAGCTCAAAAACAAAAAGTCGTACAAAATTGATATTGCATATTTAAGATAGGTATATGCCTGGGATGAGAGGACTTTTTCGTCAAAATTGGCTAACCAGAAGTGGCACTTTATATCATCGATTTTCACATTTTTATAATTTTCTCTAAATGGCTGTAACGATTTTGATTAAATTCATTATATCGGTCTTAAATTAAGCACTTTTTAATATAATATAGTTGTTATTCTCATTGATGTTCAGTAACAGGGCTTAAATGCCTAATTTTCAAAATTTCTTCGTCTTAAATACCATTAATTTTTTATATTTAAATAATTAACCATTTCCCTTAATAACAAATTATGAAAAATGGTTAAATATAAAATATGAAAGAATTTTATAATTAATTAAAGGAATAAATAATTATAATAATGAGAAACAAGGGATTGTAATAGAGAACCGAATAAATTGAAGCGCACTCCTGAGCTTAGCTGAAAGATAGAAAGGTTTCTATACATAACATGGGCTCCGATAAAATTATAATTACATATACATGTGCGGTTTTCATAAATGCTAGTGTTGATATTATTTTATAGATTACAGTAATATTAAAATTAAAATAATGTATATATATATATATATATATATATATATATACCAATGAAAACAAATAAAAAAGGTAGAATGAAACATGAACAAATTTAGCAGCCTTCTTTATTAGTGGTAATCTTGTTGGAGACAAATATTTCATGGCACTAATTAATTAATTAAAACAATCTTAGTGTCAAAAAAATCATAAATATAACACAGTCGACGCCTGTAAAATACATATGGTAATTAATTGTTTTAAATAAAATATTGTACATCTGTGATTTTTACTTTTATTTCCCTTGGCCTCAGGAATATTAAAGTGAACACTTTGTTAACATGTTTGGTCAAAAAGACCTCAGCAAAAAATTATTTTTTTATTTAATTTTCTCCTTTTTTTGAACTGAAAAAAAAAACCTGTTGTGGTGCAAGCATCACACAGCTTTCAATTACCACTCTTTTTTTTAAAGTAGAAACAGGTATTTTCAGACAAAGAGTGAAAGTAAAAATTACAGACAGTACAAAATATTATTTAAAACAATTAATTAAATTAACATACGTTTTTCACAACTCCAGTTTATTCGATTCTCTATTATGATCCCTCGTTTCTTATTATAATTATTTATTCCTCTATTTATTATTAAATTATTTTAATGTTTTATATTTAACCACTTTTCATAGCTTGTTACCATGTAAAATGGTTAATTATTTAAAATAAATTAAATTAAATATCCTTCAGAGAAAGAAATTGTAAAAATTATGAATTTAAGACCTGTTAAGTGACATCAATGAGAATAAGACTTACCTGATATTAAAGATCATTTAATTATACATTGATATACAGAATTTGATCAAAATCATTAAAGCTGCTTCCAAGGAAATTGTAAAAAATTTAAGGTGACTAGATTTTAACATTGCTAAAGCGGGACACAATTGGGGAGGAGGGAGTATTCTTGATTAAAAATTTGGTTCATGAAGTGCAAACAATAATCCGAGTATGTTGTTAGAATAACTGATTAACATAATGATAATCTGGTCCAAATGTTAATCAGGTGACATAGTACTCAGCTGAAATAAGGTAGGGAAATTAGTTCTACGATACCTCATTAAAAAGATAATTTTCGAGTTGTTTATTATCATAAGTCCAAACAATGGTGATTGAATTCTATCAGCTAATCAACAATGCGAACTTTGCTAATCAGTTCTCGATAATCATTTCCCAACAGTTATTCGTTATTATTAAATTTTAACATTACAAAATTAACAAAAATAATATAAAACTCATATTCTGCCAAAATTGTATTTTCTCTTTCCGTTCTCTAGCTTAATATGCATTCTTTCTAAAAATCGGAACTTTTTCAAAATGCTGTGAGACACAAGAAGACATCGTTAAAAATCTGGACAGTCCCACCGAAAATGGAACATCTGGTCACCTCAGTAAAATTAATATTACAGCCAATTTTGATGAAAAAGTTGCCGTAACATCCTAGACATATACATCTCTCTTATATATGACAAATAATAATAATATGACCTCATGGAAGCTCACTTTATGCTTTTGGGATACTTCCTAAATAAATAAGGGGTTATTAAATAATAAACAAAATTATAAGAGTATTAATATATTAAACTGAAATTTATAATTATTCTATCTCAGGTATGGGTTACTGACAATCAGATCAAAACACTCAGACAAACTATTATTATTTATACTAAAATTAAACACTGATTTTAAAATAAAGTCAAGTATGGATTGACAAGCTAGCCTTTTTTCTATATATACTGTTTCTTCCTTTGTTCCACTAAATTCATTTGTCTTCTAAAATTTTCCTATGTTCTGCCAAACACATCTTCCAAAATGGTAATACTATTAATGGGTTTTACCCACTTGAGTCAGGATCCCTTCTCCCCACCCTCTCTTCACCCCAGCCAAACACAGACTACTTGTCAAAACAAAAATCCTTTGTGTCTCCCCTCTTTAGGATTTTCCTTTTTGGGAAAACTACAGAGCAGCCATTCTGTTTCCCCTGAACTAGTGAAACTAGATTAGCTTGCTTTTTAACTATTTCATTAATTTATTAAATCATTTTAACAACTTTCAATTAAAATGTATATTACAATAGATACATGTCAGTTTCATACAGCTTTTATTTTTGAGCTAGGCTGTTCACACACAGAACATTTTGCTGTACTTGGTTATTTGGACTCAGAAGATCTCTAAACGTGTATTTGAAATTGAAAACTCAAATTTAAAAACTTTCATGATTGCAATACTTTTCCTTATAATATATTACATATATAGGTAAGTGAAAGTAAAAAAAAAAAAAATGATATAATGCCTTTGTTTAAAAACTTTATTTTTAAAAAATACTTCAATGAGTAAGTTACAAATACAGCTTAATCAGTTCATCACTGACAGCGGACGGTGTGAGAATTCCAATATCTGTAAACAGTAAGCTAATGTATGCTGGAGGTGTGTAATCTACCATAGGATGCTCATCCCTCAAATCCTTATCAAGGGTACTGCTTCGATACTGAAAACGATACATAAATATAAATGAGCCAATATTCTGCAAATTAATGAAAATAATCAGATTGTTATACAAACACATTTAAAAATTAGTCCTACTATATATAGTATGTTGAGACACAAGTTGGTCCCTACAGTTAATTTATCAACAATTAGAATGTACATAATTGGTAAATGGTTGACTGTCGTGGATAATGAAGAGAAGAATAGTTGGGGTGGTCAGTCAAAAAAGAAGGCAAAAATAAATGATAATATTTATTTTTACATATGCCGACGTTTCGACCTGAAGTTCAGGCCTTCATCAGGGCTAAGAAAATAACCAGATAACACGGTATGAGAAACATAAGTAGTGATGGTAAAAAAAATAAAGAAAAAAATATTTAAAAAATAAAGTAAATATTATATTATATAATAAATATTATATATAAATATAAATAATAATAATAATTATATATAAATATAAATAATAAATATTATATAAATTATAAATATTATATTATACATTGTCTGTAAATCTTGATAGACTTTACAATATCTCAATTTTCTATCTAACTACTCCATTCTCAATGTCTTAATTTTACTATTTATTTTCATTTCTTATATAACTTCATATTTCTTTTTTATGTTTTACATTATATTCTAAGATTCCCATTTTAACACTTATGTCACCCTTTTTGATTATGCTTACTTCATCATTCCACACTTTGTAACAGTTATTATTATTTATCTCTTAGTTCTTACTATTGTCATTATTCTAACAATTTCATTTTACTTTATTTTTTAAATATTTTTTTCTTTATTTTTTTTACCATCACTACTTATGTTTCTCATACCTTGTTATCTGGTTATTTTCTTAGCCCTGATGAAGGCCTGAACTTCAGGTCGAAACGTCGGCATATGTAAAAATAAATATTATCATTTATTTTTGCCTTCTTTTTTGACTGACCACCCCAACTATTGTTCTCTTAATTAGAATGTACATGTGAATAGAAAAGGAAGAGCAATATAATGATAATAAATTTTGTTCATGGTAACAAATGTTTGCACAATTATTTTTAAGAAATAAAAATATACAAAAACATTTCCAATAAAAAGGGGCTGTTGTTTTTCAGATGAAGGAGTATTCAGATGAACAAGTTTTATATGAACAGCCATCTTTGTTTTAGGCCTGTACCTTGGTGTTATCAAAACATTAACTAAAGAATAATTTACCAAAAACTATTAATCAAAATCTAAATAATTAATTACACTAATTACAAACTTACCTTAAACTCATCAGGCAAATCTCTTTGATTCAGAGGGAAGAGTCGAGAAAACTTGAAACTTTCCGTTAAGACATAGAATGGTTTTTTCATTTCCCTTGCACATAGTGCCATGGTATAGCTACCAACCTAAAATATAAGGAGATTTGAGTTTTGAAGCCAATATAATATAAAAAAAGGCCCAACACAAGGTAATTAACATATATTATCTATTTCTATGGTGTTAGTTGGGAAGTTCTTCTCCAAGATTATAGCTTCACTTGTAACTTCACATCAAGCACACTGTAGATGGAATACAGAAAGTAGTTCTAAAGTTAACTGACAATTATGTTGATATACAACATAATCATGAAATAACAATGCAGTATATGGAGAATATGTATAAAACATAAATTTACTTTTGATTGTTCAAAATTATTGCGACTCATAACAAAAGCACCTTGGTATGGTACGTGACTAACAAAACTCTACATACTGACCTCCATTTTACAACAGTTGACCAACATATAACGACCCTATATCAACGATTTTACACAAATTTAAACGGACATAATAACAGACTTATAAGAGACATGGCCACAGCTGACATACCTCAGAACATGAGCAGGAGACTAAAAAGGCGTTGGATGAGAGATCTCCTTCCTTAGACAACCTAAGTAATTGGAACAAGTTAGGGAAGAGGAACTGCTGAGTACTTTCCTTCCCCATGCTTGTCATGTCATTTTATCATTATCGCCATCACATTTGCTGATTGTCAACTTATTGTTGACAGGCGCAAATACATATTTAATAGACAAAAAAAAACAAAAAAACTTTTGATTGTTGGCTTTAATTTAATTCCTAGCATCCTAATATTTGTTATTCATAGTAAGCTACAATATATACATTACAGTAGTATAGACCTATTTTCTGGCCCACAGGAGCAATGGATTTTGTCAAAGATGTATCAAATAAAAGAGAAATTCATGGAGTAGCAAAAAATTCCAATTTCAATCTTTAATTCCTTCAACAACTGTAATAAAAGTCATTAAAAAAATTGGGTGGTTTCAAAGTCAATGAATCAAGATGTGAAAAGTGTTTTAAAGCTCAAAAATGTTCCGTTTTCGACATAAATCATAATTCTTGCTGAATCCCTCTTAGTGCTATGGATGGCATGGGAGATACCTACCATATTTTAAAAATTAAAATTTTATGTATTAACATTCCTTTTTTTTTTAGCCTTTGACAAACTAAAAATCTATTGGAAAGCTATATGGAGGAGAATAGTTCTATGATCCCAAGCACAATTTGGATTATACATAGAAAAAACTTATTGATGTATTTAATAAATAAAGAAAAGAATATCTAGATAGACTCTCTACCTATACTCTCAACAATAGACTTGTATACTCCTATTGAATACATAGGATATCTAGCTAATGTGAGAGTTCTCACTGAAATACATTAGTTATGCTTAATTCAAAAAATTATTAGAGATCGCGAAAAGATAATTCTTTTTTTCAATATTTTTCACAAATTAAGTGTAAGTGTGGTGGCCGTGTGTGTTAATAATAAACAAACAAACCAATCCACTTGGAGAATACTGATGTCCCAAATGTGGGTAAACTGTCCAGTGTTGCCTGCATTGGAAAATCTATGATATTCATCAATAAAAGAAGTGAACATAGTAGACCATACCTAACCTAACAAACATTCTATATAAATGAGGAAAAAGTTCCTCTTTTAAATTGACCCATAATTCACTATCAATGAAGGGGAGTCATGAGGATTAGTTGTCTCCTTCTTTTGTTGGATAATTACAGGATTCTGTCTACAATGAAATTTTAAATCCAGCCACCATCATGGAGCAGCACTTTGAATCTAATACATTTTGTATTTATTCCACATTTATAAATATACACTTCTAATTAATAATAAAAAGAATTGAATCACAATAACAACAGATGGGTTCAAGGTCAAAACTTGATTAAAAACAATTCTTGACCAACAGTTTAGCAAAGAGATCTATACAGCAACACACAACTGCTGGACTCAAATATTTTTTTTATCACAAGAGGATTAAATTTACACTTGGAAGGATTAGGTACCAATTTATACAGGATGAAATCTGGAAATCTTGAGTCAAGAGTCTAAGTTAATAAACATTCTCTAAGATACTTTATTCTCATTTAATTAAAATAGCCAGCTAAATATTGTCATTGAAATCTGAACTGCAAAATATAAAAAAATACTATATTCCCAATATGATCAATTATACAATTATGGCTAATGTAAGCCTTTATAGACTCATTAATAAATTAATTATTGAAACATTATCCAAATTTTCACCACTTCTGGCGTCTGCAGGGATACAATCAGATATTAAAGCAATCTATCTATATAGCAACTCCTCTCCTTCTCTGGAAGAATTGGTCTTATTCCGTGTGGACTGGACTAGGTGTGAAATACTGGTCACCGTAATTTGCAAGTAGGCTTTGTCAAATTTATGTATATGTTTTAGCTGATTATAATTATTTTTAATGATTTTAAAAATGGACTAGTATGTATTAGTAAGTCCTGTGAGAGATTTTGTTATTACTCAAAATAACATTCGGTTATAGCACTCATTTCTTTATTTCATTTCATTTCTTTTCTATAAGATGAGCTAACTGGAAACACATCTTTAAGAAAATAGTAAGACAACACTACTATAGGAAAGATGGAGCCTTCACTAGCAAGGATTTCCATTAATGTAAGATATACAAATAAGGATAAGTTTCCACTAAAATTTTGACAGGAGCATTAGGAATCAGGTAGTATCTGCTAATCCAGTATCAGAAGATAACAATTAAACACCAGCCGTGCTATGTGGTCATAGAATAAGTTAACAAGCACCATCTTCGGCATGTCCCTAAATTAAACTGGACTAACCTAATAAATAAGATAACACTAAACATTCAGTATTAAAGAAACATAACATAAAAATAAATAAATCATTACCTTGTTAATGATGCCTCCACTTTCAACCACCCCTTCTGCTCCAACCATGACCATATCAACTTGTTCCATAACATAACCAACAGCAGAATCAAGAATGACGGTACATCTTATGCCAAGATCTCGAACATTTTTTGCCATTTCTTCACTAAAAAGGAGGGAAACCACAAAAAAAAAAAGTTAGAATTTATTACAAGTGAATTATCTCATATATAACATAACCGAAATATTACCCACTGCTATCTGGTGATGACTTTGTTACAAACACTTCAAACCTTTTATTTGCAGTCGCTGCTTCTTTAAATGCCTTCAGAACGACTCTCGACTTTGAATGTGTCAAAACTCTCTAAAATGAAAACAGTGCTGTAAATAATAATTACAAAGCCTTCAAAATTCATACAACAAATATTCACTTACTGATCCATCAACAATGAATGAAGAGGCCAATTTACCTACTTTCCCCCGAGCTTCTTGCAACTTTTTTAAAAATATTTCACCACGGTCCAACATAATCTTTTTACAGTCTGAAAATGTCTAGAATGATAAAAATAAAACGTCTAGAATGATAATATAAAAATAAAACATCAAGGATGAATAATACTTGGTACAAATTAAAACAATACTGTTTAGAACGTACAGAAAAATCTAGCGTTGCCAAAGTAATAAATCGTAAAAACAGTTCGGAACCAGAGGCAACAGCTGTAACTGAACAATCAGTTCTTCTCATAACTTCAACAGCAGTCTTGAGTTTTGATACAAGTTCTTGAATAGTTTCCGCTGAAATAAACAACAAAATTGGTGAGTTATAAGCCAGCAATGTTTGAGAGAACTTAAAAATATGGTTCACAAACAAATACATTTGTCATGCTCCAGAAACTTCAACAATGTGCATATTGCAGCAATTCCAGCAGACACTTCACTGTCTTGCTGCATAATTGCAGTGAAGAATTCCTTGATCTCTAAAAAAATAACAAATGGTATTGTAAAAGTTATTAAAAAAAACAATAAACATTAAATAAAAATTTACAACCTTTATTATTCATCTTATAGTTTCAAAATAAGATTTCAAATTGAAATTAAATTTCTTTGAAAAGAATTACTTAACGTTTTGGACCAATCACATAATTAAGATACATTAGATTACGATAAAATAAACCACTACTGAGGTTTCATAAGATAAAGGATACAAAGAGATTCTATTGATTAAAGGTGAGGATTAGTTAAGAAAAAACATTAAATGAAGCCAACTTAATTCCACATTACGTGTTTTATTTTTCTTCAGTTGGATTACTTGATAATTTTTTTGTCTTATATGATATAATCGAATATTAAATATATTTTTTTTATGTTCTGGCTAAGTTTCTAAACTTAGGGCTTACGTCATCGATGGATTCCATCACCAACGGACTGCGACTTATTGGACAAGTTCCTGAACACTACTCCGACTGCATCAGATCCGGCTCTAAAATTGAGCTAGATTACGACATTGATTAGCTCGGCATCTAGTTTAGGAAATTGCTTATTCACAGTTTAGGATAGGCCTGTTGGATTCTAGCAGAAGGTCTACACTCTTACAATATTACAAAGCACCTGAAAAATAAAAATAAATAAGGAAATATGAGAAGGAGTTAGTCGGGGGTGCGGTCAAATTTTTTATGCTCCTTTTTTTTAAATTTTTTATGCAAATTTTTTAACTCCTTCTCATATTATATCAACGGTCTACCATCTCTACATCATTATAAATAAGGAAATCATTGCCTATATTATTGCAGAATTTCAAAACAAAAATAAATATAGATAGAATATAAACTGAATGAAAATAAATTGAGATATATTAATGCTGAGGTTATATTCAGCGATCCACCGACTCCAAAAGTTGATGAAACCGGTGATTCAATCGAAAAATACAGAAACGCTCTGAATTCCATCGACGAGTTCTTGTGACGAAAGTTCTTGTGCATCTCAGATGCTATTCATGAGGTCAACGCTCGTTAGGAACTTGCCCTAAATGTAAACTGAATGAGTGGCCAAGTTCCTATAGTCACAATCAGTGCTGAGATCATCGATGAGTATCGAAAATCTATCAATGGATTAGCGCTGTGTTTAAAACCTTGCTAAGTTACCAACATAAGGCAGACTCTTTTGTACATAGCGTATTTCTGCGCTACCGATGATGAAACCTTCAATTTTTAATTGCTATGCTAGTCACTTTATTTTGATGATATGTTATTTATGATGTGGCCAGAGTGCAAACATGGCAGCTAATCAGTGACTGAGAATTTGGAATAATGCTCTTCGAAAAAAAATCAAGGTTAGTAACATATTCATTAAACAAAACCATTCGTAAAAGATGACTAATAATCAATAATGGTCAAAGTTTTAAGTTTAACAGAAGAATAGTTGGGGTAATCAGTCAAATAAGAAGGCAAAAATAAATGATACTATTTATTTTGACATTTACCGACGTTTTGACCTGAAGTTCAGGCCTTTATCAGGGCTGTCTCCACAAGTGTTAACGGAGAAAATGGATGGATAGCCCTGATGAAGGCCTGAACTTCAGGTCAAAACGTCGGTAAATGTCAAAATAAATAGTATCATTTATTTTTGCCTTCTTATTTGACTGATTACCCCAACTATTCTTCTCTTCATTATTCATGACAGTCAATCATTTTCCCACAATTATTAATATATTAATTTTAACCTTGTACAAGTACCCTTGATCATCATCTTCAATTGGCACTATGCTTCTTCACTGAATACCGCCGCAAATAGCAATCATCAGTGCATATGATTAAGTGCACCTTCGAACACCAAACATTCTTTTACACCACAAGCGGATCAACGAGAGAGAAGAATGGGGGGGGGCTTCGTGTCTTAAGGAAAAAATATTTTAAAAACATCCCCAAAAGTATTGTTGTTCGTGTAATTACATTTAACGGAGCATCAAGAATCACTTAAATACCATTTCTTATTGGTAGTTAGTTTGTTTCTTTTTCTTCCAAAGTAATTATCGTTATATTAAAAAAAAAAAAAAAAAGCTTTCGGGCTGAAGCCCCCTCCAAAATGAAATGCTCGTTCATTCCGTCTTGAAAAAGTTCAGTTTCAGTTCCGTACGTACGGGCCTGATCAGTGTCAAACACTAGCGGATCCAGGATTTAATTTTGGGGGGGGGGCTTCAGCCCGGAAGCTTTTTTTTCATATATATAACGATAATTACTTTATAAAAACAGAAAGATAGTAACTACCTATATGAAATGGTGTTTAAGTGATTCTTTAGGTCCTATTAAATGTAATTAAACGAGCAATAATATTTTAAGACATAATTTTTTTACATTTTTTACCATAAAGCATGATTACATTTTACCATTTTACCCCCGTAAATCCGCCTGTGGTGTCAAATATTATATTTCTATAGCTTCTGCAGTATAGTGTTCTCTAATTTTTCAACCTAGTCCGAAATAATATCTGTTAGCAGAAGCTATTTTTCGTTTTATTTCAGCCGAAATATTATTATTTTTATTTCCACATAACCCTGAATATTGAAAAATGAAAAAAAATTTTTAGGGACCAGGATAACAATTTCTTTGCGAAATAATAAATAGATATTAATTAGCAATGAATCTCAAGCATAAAAAAAGTAAGCATCAAAGTATATACATATTTTATGTTAAATATAGAAGAACAGCTCTCTTTTCTGTTCAGTGATGTACTTCGTACACACTTTTCGAACGCAAGTGTATACACAAAAACTTTCTTCGGTTTTTTAATTACTGTAAAAGTAAAACATTTGTTTCATCTCTGTTCAAAATGTGTTAGAGATGGCTAAGAATATCGAAATAGTTTTTTCCCATGAACTATTCTTCGTAACTGTAGGTGTTATGCAATTATGTATAATATATTGACGCTGTTAGCAGTGAAGGCTACAAACGTCCATTTACGAGTAAATGAATAATTAAATCCCACATATATTATTAAAGTAAGGCTCGAAATCAGTTTTGTACCAAATATAAGCTCCTGTCATGCTCAAATACCATGAATGGGGTACTGTTGGATTCAGAATTTCACGGGAGGTTAGCGAATCTCCACCTTTGTTTTTCTTTGTAAAACAAATAAAGCCGATATAAACATTTTGCTAAGCTTCAATACTCGAATGGTGGTAGGTCTGTTGATCGATACGGGAAAAATTGAATCTTGAAGATTTTGATGCGTACAGCAAGACCCGGATAGTTCCTCTGGAACTATCGTATCCTGCGTTTTTAAGCCCCAAAACGTACTATTTTCGAGACTACGCAAGGCATAGGATCCGCATCCACATAGCCTTACATTAACTGTGGTACTGTCATTGAATACATGTCTCATTTCGTCGACTTGAGGTATCTATGATCGAGAGAGTTTATATTATTTATCGGTGGTGTTTCTGATCGGCATGCCATATCATCGTTAATTCTTCACCAAATCTCAAGATTGAGCCACCAATTTCGAAGGTTTCCTTCTCCTTCAGGAAGGCAAAATAGTCCAATCACCTCGAAAATTCAGGCGAACAAGTTATGAAAGAAAACAAACTAAAAAATTACACACTTTTCCCTTGGTTATGCCCATGATTATATAAAATACTACTAAATTCCCTTCAAAATGAAAAAGAGATCATCGAAATCTATTTTTAACAAAGATAAAGCTTACTGAAATTTGTGAAATGTTGGTACCAAAGAAAAATGAAGATTTTAATTAATTTTTGTTTTCTTTGTCGATTATATTAATTGATAAAGTAACATTTGATTTCTTTATCTTTTGATGCCTTGCATTATTGTATTTTCTTATTAATTTGGTATTTGATAACAATATGCTGTGCTAATTTTTCACACGGGCCTACTAGTAATAATAAATCTCGTAAGTAAGAAACATCGGCATTACGACTTGAAAATTCCTTCAGTCTAGATTTACCAGGTCCTTCGCATGAGAAAAGTATTTTCTGTTTTTAGCAAACACGTCTACACTTTTCAGCAAATCTTCTCTTCCTTTCCAAAACCTATCTTTCTTCTTTCGGAGTCCTTGGTTCATTTTTGCAATTTGGTCACTTAACCCTGAAACACCCTGTACAGCCAAATTTTCATTTCTTTCCTTTTAGAAATGTATATCACAAATCTCGTCATCCCTTGCATTCAGTCACATGACTTATCATATCAGTGATTTATATTGCCAAGAAAATATTTATTATTTGCAATTTATCCCAAAGCGATACATATTCTGCAATCACTAGATGTATGAGCTTCTTCCAATCAAACAAGGAAGAATAAATGAAGTTGCTGCATAAAATTCCGGACGAATCGATAGCAAAAAAAAAATCGTAGAACAACTTTTATTAAAGAGTTTTTCATTAGAGTGTCCGATCAGAGATTTAAAACCTTTTCCGTATATATTTTGAATTTATATTTGAACGAAAGACAATGTTTGACATATATATTTTTAAATTAGGGATCTTCAAAAAAGTATTCAACATAAATAATAATTGTAGTTATGAATCTTCTGGGGAACTTATAGTAAATAACTAAAGGATTTAGCAAAATAAACCCTCCTTAAACTTGTTACTGAACTAACGATAGTTTCATGATACTATAAAAAATGAAAAACTATCGACTATTTCTCATCTCTTCTCAGAGCTCTTGGTGATTTCAAGAATCACTGCACAGCATCTGTTTTTGTTCAAAAGTAAAAATAAACAGGAATAAATGATAAGCGATCTTTCTGTTGCTTTAATTTTTGTCTAAAAATATCTTGAGGAAAAAATTAATGTAGACTTCATTTTTGTTTTTAAACGATTTTGCCTCTTATTTTCTCTGAAGTTTTTGGATAGCAAAATAAAACTTAATATACAGTGCCATTAGACATTTGGTGCCCCATGGAATGATGTCATGTCTCCCAAAACAATTTAATTTATTTCTTAAGCTGTTTTATAATAAGTAATATTTGAATTTTATTTCATTCAATTTGTCTTCAATTCAGTTGCTTTCTTAATTGGCTAACATTATTTATTCTCATATAGTTTTTATTTATTTATGTTTAATTCCTATTAAGTGGCTGCTGGTGCCCCAGTGAAATTTGCCCTGGTTGCCCACTCTAAGGCCGGCACAATTTATATAGTATTATAAGGATATTTTAAATAAAAAGCATCACCACAAGTTAGATATCAAATTTAAAAAAATTAAATTTTTTTTTT